CCTAATCATTGGAGAATCAAGCAATCAACTGCCTAAACCTAGCCCTGCAACGCCTTTCATACACTTTTTGACAAAACAAAACTTAACACACATACATCAGACAGACAGATAGACAGCGTATGATCGTTTAATACACGATATTAAAGTTCATCAACTATTCTTTTTAGTAATGCGAGTGACTTAGAAAAAGAAGTCAATAGGAACATAGTGCAGGACGGCGGGATTGCTTTAGTTGAAGGATGTAGTCACCCTTGTAACACCCAGAGCCGTACACAGAAAGAGTTGCGACAACTAGGCCTACACATTTAGGCGCGTCATGCGTTATAGGTCCAAAAGCTCGTGTGACATTGTGCACAATCACTGGTATCTCTGTCACTAATGTTGACAATGCCATTACAAAAAACCCAGAGTCTCATGACAGAAGTTTTCTTGGACCACAAATATCGTCCAAAATCGGTACCCCTCATGTCGCAACCCTCTCTTTTGGGGCCTACGGTTCTGAACTACTCTAACTGTAATCAATAAACGGTTCGATAATGTATACATAAAAACAATTATAATTGTAAAATGAAGCAAATGGTCGATTTAGGGCTGCGAGAACTGAAGGTTCATAACCTTAAAATATATTCAAAGTTAGAAATGTTGGCCTAATGCCAAGGCACCAATGTTTAGTTTTTAGCAGGGTCAAAACATAGAAATATACTCTTTATTTGGTAAGTTAAAAGTGTCAGTGATGGAAGGGCATGTGCCTTCTTTCTGTTCAAAATGGCTTTCTTATTGTCAACTCGAAAATCATTGATTCAGAAGGTAAAATGTTTTCTTTTATTCCCATGATATTTTCTTTGTCGTTTAATTTACCTTCTTGAAGCAAGTATAGGGCCAAAATCTATATTTAGAAATGCGTTATGATTATACTTGATATACTTGTAAGACAGCCTCAGTGCGCTGCACATGCGCACAATTAATGTCACGCCCTCTGTCGCTAGGTCCTAAAGACCGACACGCTTAAGAAAATGACGTCACTCATCCAGACTCGTATTAAATGAACCACGTGACTGACGCAACGACCTCCCGAAACCAAGGAAACGTTTCTAGCAAAATCAAATATGACACTTTTTAGGTTACGGGCTATACATATAACGCAATGGTCATACACAAGATTATAAAAACTATTTCGGCAAAATAATTATATATGTGAATGTACAATGTTGCAGACAAATCCTTGAAATCAAACTAAAATCAATTGATTAGTTATCATTTTGCTTCTAGAATGTTTTGATTGAAGACATGCTTAACACTAGATACAGCTCCAAATTCACACTATCTATCGCCTTTTGTTATGATTTACTAAGCGATTAAAATCCAAAGGATATTCAGCAGCCTTGACTCCATGGGCGCGTGCGCGTTCCTTACACTCCCGCAAGGCATGATGGAAAACAACATGGCGCAGCAAGATCGTACCCATGGGGAACGAGGTTGGATATTCAGTCTATCGCGGTGCCAACGCACTTGTGCACCACTTAGTTGTTTTTACCCACATGCGTACGGGACCAAACGATTCCAAATAATGCGCAGTGCGACCGCTTTCACCATTGGCGTGACGCGTCGCGCCAAAAACGAGCGTTCGCGTAATTAACATCATTCTATACGCGCAGCATTTTGCTCACAGGCGCAATAGCAAATGTCGTGTCTAGGTTTTATTATACTAGTGCAGTGCCCGTCTAAAATGTGCATGTTCGGGAAACGCAAATTGCTTTGCCGCTGGTATAGGTTGCATCATTGCAGAGTTTTGGAGAACTGCTCGTGCAAACAACGCACGCGATTCAATGGTGTTGGTTTCACAGGTTGAACGCACACTTACGTCAACATTTTTGCCAAGTTTGAAGTTCGACCACCTACAATGGTCGCTCAGTCGACGGCAAAAATAATGTGCCCGTGTACATACGAAAACATGGTGCGCAGTGCTATTCACTTTATTGATCCATTAGTATTCACCCATACTGGACAATGTATCGCCCTGCAATGCACGTGCGCGTGCCCGTCCTTTTTGCATTGTTTGCGTCATATTGAGCACGCGCGCTTTAGCTTAAACATGACGTAAAAACAATTGAAAAGAACGGCAGTGCGTGCGGGTGTTATGTTCTAAGCTATATACTGCCACGTTTGCCTCAGAAAATACTGCTTTTTTCAGCTTTTTCGAGAACCGCTGGTCCAAAGTTCAAACTTTGCACTGCATATTCTGTTGTCCCGAAAAATATACCCGCCGATTTTTGACTTCATACGGTGCCCGGTTCTGAAGATAATCGACGGACAGACAGACAGACAGAGATTCCTGGAATTATAGTAAGAAGACTAGTGCAGGGCCAGTCGAAAATGTGCGTGTTCGGAAGGGGCAGTTGAGAACTGCAGCTCTTGCAAACAACGCACATTATTCAATGGTGTGAACGCACACTCGCAAGTTAAACGCACAAAATGTTGTCACCCCCCTGGCACTGATATTTACCCCTACTGGACAGTATGGTATCGCCCTACAACTGTAGGGCGTAGTTGTAGGGCGATACCATATTGTATTAGAGTTGCTCAGTCGACCGCCTACATACAGTGCAGTGATGGTTGCTCAGTTGACTACAAAATGCATGTGCCCGTGCATGCCTCTCACGTATATGTACGTACGAAGACATGGTGTGCAGTGCTATCGCCCTACAATGTGCCCGTCCTTTTTGCACTGCTTGCGTCATATTGAGCACGCGCGCTTTAGCTCGAACATGACGTAAACAATTGAAAAGAACCCCATGATGTGCCCGTCCTTTTTTTCATTGTTGCGTCATATTAAGCACGCGCGCTTTAGCTTTACATGACGTAAACAATTGAAAAGGACTGCGTGTGTTCTAGGTATATAATCTGCCACGTTGAGGCTAAAAAAATACTGCTTTTTTGCAGCTTTTTCGAGAACCGCTCGTCCAAATAACTTCAAACTTGGAACTGCACATTCTGCTGTCCCAAGCAACACACCCGCCGATTTTCAACTCCATACGGTGCCCGGTTCTGGAGATAATCGGCGGACAGACAAACAGACGGACAGACAGACAGACAGAGATTCCTTGAATTGTAGTATAGACTAGTGCAGGGCCAGTCGAAAATGTGCGTGTTCGGAAGGGGCAGTTGAGAACTGCAGCTCGTGCAAATAACGCACATTATTCAATGGTGTGAACGCACACTCGCAAGTTAAACTCACAAAATGTCGTCAACCCCTGGCACTGATATTTACCCCTACTGGACAATATGGTATCGCCCTACAACTGTAGGGCGTAGTTGTAGGGCGATACAATATTGTATTAGAGTTGCTCAGTCGACCGCCTACATACAGTGCAGTGATGGTTGCTCAGTTGAGTGCAAAATGCATGTGCCCGTGCATGCCACTCACGTATATGTACGTACGAAGACATGGTTTGCAGTGTTATCGCCCTACAATGTGCCCGTCATTTTTGCAGGGCCAGTCAAAAAAAATGCACCTGTTCGTTAGGGGCAATTTCAAAATGCTCATATCATGCAAACAACGCACACGATTCAATTGTGTTGTTTTCACAGGTTAAACTCACACTCATAGGTTGAGCGCACTTTGTACATGTCGCCAGGCCATCCCCGGTACTGATATTCACCCATATACGCCCGTGCAGCTACTCACCTACGTGAGTAAGGTTGCTCAATCCACCGCCTACAATAGTGGTTCAATCGACTGCAAAATGCATGTGCCCGTGCAGTCATCACGTACCGAAACATATGGTATGCAGTGCTATTCACTCATACTGGACAATGGTATCGCCCTACAATGCACGTGCGCGTGCCCGTCCTTTTTCCATCGTTTGCGTCATATTGAGCACGCGCGCTCTTGCTTTAACATGACGCAAACAATTGAAAAGAACATCAGTGCGTGGTGTTATGTTCTAAGCTGCCACGTTGAGGCTCCGAAAATGCTGCTTTTTTGCAGCTTTTTCGAGAACCCCTAGTCCAAACAACTTCAAACTTGGCACTGCACATTCTGGTGTCCCGAGCAACACGCCCGCCGATTTTCAACTCCATACGGTGCCCGGTTCTGGAGATAATCGGCGGACAGACAGACAGACGGACAGACGGACGTTCTAGCCAGACGGACTTGTGGGGTGATAGCATTGTGTTCCCATTATCCCTTTTTCTAAAGATTCCCTTCTGGGGTGATGTTTTTCCATTGTGTAAAAAGTGGGGTGATGTGTTCTGAAAGGAACATCACCCCACAAGGGTGGTCTGGTCAGAACAGACAGACAGACAGACAGACAGAGATTCCTTGAATTGTAGTAAGGATGTCTATGATTGTAACGTGCATCGGTATTTTGCATAGATATAGAATAAAAAAAGATTAACCGACCGACATACAGATCCTTGTCATTTGATTGGTGTAACTCACATCATGTCGTTCTCATACAGTGTACGATATACACGTTGGGAGGCTCGGAAAAAGCGGTGACCAATAACCAATGCCAAAAATTGGGGGTTCTTTAACGTCCGCAACAGGTGAACACTTTACGAATGAAATCACAACTAGCATCCAAACCGCTCGAATTTATGGGGTCGCAAAAGTGGACCCCGAAATTTGTTCTCACATGCATAATACAGGAATAACACAAAAACACCCAGTTTTGAAAGGATAGTTGTGTGGATGTTTATATTCTAGTTTTAAATGTTCTTTCCGATTAACATAGTATGCTCAAAGTGCGTTTTGTAGCCCAATTGGGCTGTTCCAGGACCTATAGTGTCCAAAAGCGACACCGATTCGAAAACGTATTCGTATTCCGTCGTGTCCGATGTAAATAACCGGGGATTTTTGCGCCTTTCCCGGGAACGGTAAGTCTTTATGTTGGTTTCCTTTTAACCACACGTTTGGAATAGGATAAGTGAACAATCCAAAACATAAAATTTTCGGGGATTTCAGGACCTAGTGCCACTTTAATGATGATAAAGACAGATTAAAATATCGGATCGTCATCAGGCATGGTTTCTATGTGGGTCAGATCTACCCCGGGCATCATCCAACTCTTTCTCTTCGCTGCTCCATTTGCCTTGGCCTTATTTGCCACACACACTCCTAAAAAGATGATTGCTAACACCCCAACTCCTACGGTCGTTCCAATCAGTGCTGCGATGACGGTACTAGCCTCAGAAAGGGGAAGCCTCAACCCACCCAGACTGACGGTACAAGGTTCCGGGTCCGGTGGGCAGGGGGTAGGCTCCGCAGGAGTAGGGGCAGGTGCTGTGATGGACGGTAGGTAGCTTGCCCAGAAGCGAAGGAGATGTTGCCAGTTGTTGTCATTGCCCGAGAGAACCTGGGGACAGTCGGTGAGTGACATGTAAGTCAGGTTGGCCGAGTCGAATGCTGGCCACTCTACGCCAGAAAGCGAAGGCCCCGGAGCTCTAAATGTAATAAAAAAAAACATACAAAATGTGTACTTCAGCGAATTTGTCAGAGTCTGAAGAAAAAAATCACCAATGCTAATACGGGACTTGAACAAGGTCTTTAAGATAGGTTTTAATCAAGCAACTGTATGATAACATTTTCGTCATGTCCAACGATTCAGTTCACTCTTCCTCACCAGTTGGTAGTTGGTCAGGTACAAAATATTACTGAAATTTCCTGCAAGTTCTGGAAAGATGGTTGGTAATCTTACCCATTGTATGTAAACATTTTCAAGAATGCCATCAGCTCGAGGGTGAACCGCTTATCTTCCAACCTGTAAGACAGCTGCAGTTCATCCACGAGAGGACTGTACGGATCTCCAAACAGGAACTGAAGATCATCTGCAAACGTTGGTCCGACCTGAGGTGGAAGTAGCCCCTTGTAATGATGAGCAGGTGGTTTGAGATCAAACGAGTAGAAGTAGACAGAGTGACCGGCGTCAGCGTGGAGTCTAGCAGCTTCCAATGTGCTCCAGTATGACAGATAGTCGTTTATGAACTGTCTGAAACTTCCACGTGTCTGGCAATCATCATCGAGTCCACCCTTTCCAATATATTCCGTCACAAGAGCGAAAGCTGTTTTATCAGCATTGGTGAAAGAAAGTGTGCTCACTGTTTCTATATACTTCTGGACTTCGGCGGTACTTGGACAATCAAGGCCGGTGAAGGCAAATGCCACCCCGGCAAATCCGTCCTGTGCCAAGCCAACAAGTATGTCAACGTCGTTGATTCGGCCTGCTTTCAGCATCTCGAGAGGTGTGTCAGTGATGAGATCACCGTCTACAACGGTCGGAAAGGCTAGGCCAAATGGAGCACTTATAGTAATGGACACAAGGTCGGCCGCGGGCTTGTCACGGAGACAGCTGACCATCATGTCACTGGTCTCAGTTGGACATCCAAGTTTGCTTGCCAGAGTTTTAGCTCTCTCGGATACACTTGGAAGTACTGGATTATCGACAGGTGGGAATATAGCAGTTGCGCTCATCAAAACAGCTCTGTTGAATAAGCCCTTCGCTGTCTCAGAGAGTGTCAGCAAATGGGCGAGAACTGCACCGGAGCCGTAGCCTTGGACTGTGACGCGCTCTGGATCGCCTCCAAAGCTTCCGATGAACTTGTTGACCCATTTGAGAGCAGCCAGGATGTCATGCAACCCGTAATTACCAGGAGCTGCTTCGTTTTCTGTCGACAGGAAACCAAGAGCCCCTAGACGGTAGTTCATTACAACAACGACAGCTTTGACCCGAGATGCAAGTAGGGTTGCATCGTAGACAGAGGATGTGCCGTATTTTGCGTCCCCACCGTGAATGAAAACCAAGACCGGCAGAGCAGGGTCGTTGGGGTCTTGAGTTGGTGCGTAGATGTTTAGAGTCAGACAGTCCTCGCTAGTTTGGTTGAACCCAAGACGAACCATCCAAGGATCTCGAGTGACGTCCTGTGGGCAGGCAGGCGGTAGCTTCTCCGGAATTCCAAGCGGTTCGTCGCCCCACTTTCCTTTGTCTTCTGGTGGTTTGAATCGGAGTTCGCCGAGTGGCGGTTTTGCGTAAGGAATTCCCAAGAATTCAGCGATCTCTAGCCCTCCCATCGCCTTGTCGGCCATTCGCAAAGCCCCGACGACAGATCCAAGCACTTCTCCGCCTTTGCTTGTAACCTGCACCGTCATATTGTCTGACTTTAGAGACGTTCCTCTTCTGACAGGTACTTCGTAGGAGCAGGTTTTCTTGTAAGATGCAGGCTCGGTTATGGTCGGGATGTAGTCGTTCCAGAAGGCTACTTTGTTTGGTTTGAAGCGATATCCCGTCTTCAAGTCAGGGTCAAGAATGAGGTAAGAACCATTCTCTGTTCCAAAATCTGGCCACTCCGGTAAGGCTGATAAGCCAGCTCCATTTGGATTCCTGCATAGGAAGACAGGAATTGGGGAAAAACAATGTATCTTTCCTCAATTCACAGATTTTAGACTCAGATGAAAAGTAGTTAAACCTTTGTCCCATATTCCACCATATCTGAGTCCAGGCATGGTCTGAGATTTGTAAGTGGATTGTGAGTTTGATTTGGGGTTATTTTCCTTCTATTAAATGTCGGATGTGATATTGTGGGTGTTTACTTCTTAGTTTGCATCCTTACTACTGTCAAGTAATTGTTTTGTTCATCTGTAAACTGCACTTTTCCTTTGATCGATCGTTTCACTATCATCTTTTTATGACTTATAATGAAACGCGTTCGGTGAGCAATATCCAATCCAAAAAATGTTAAGTTGGTAAATACTAATTTTATCTTTTATTTTAAATCAATTTTAAACAAAATTTCTCACCCGTATCGTGCAAACTGGGTCCAATAATCCATCGTCCTGTTGGAAAGGATGGCTGCGTCCGTGTCGTTTGGATACAAGGCTTTGATGAAACCAAAGACGTAAAAGATGTCCAGTGCGTGCGGTGCCCCTGAAATCAAACCCAACCATTCTGGCGGAAGGAGGAACTCCTTCCCCGTCTCGTAGGTGAATTGGTAAAAATATGTGCTCGTGTTGGCCGCGGATTCAGCATGGCGAGTTAAGAAGTTGATACTGGGAACCTTGAAGAACTGATCACCGGTAACGTCCAGGTATCTCAGCACATTTTCATCGGGGTCTTCTAGATCGTGTCCGCCGAAGTAGTAGGCGAAAACCGCATTGGTGATTTCCTGCGAGTTTTCACACTGGCATGTCAACAAGAATAATTGAATATCGGCTCTGAGCTCCTCCTCTGTGTAATCTGTATTGACTTGACTCAGGAAGACACTTCCATCTTGGTCATTGAAGCCCATGATGAGATCGTACTGTGTAACACGGGGATGGGCAAGGAGCGTGTTGATGTTGGCAGGGAGGAACTCTCCGTCAATTGTTGCTGACGATTGCACGGTGTAAGTTTGAGTTAGTAGAGTCTCCACGCTGATCCCTCGGAGGCAGCTGACAAGCTCACGGGATGTACTGACGGCTGGTAGGTTACACCCGAGGATTGAGCCGAGGGTAAACGCCTGAAACCGAGCCACAGTGGCCGGGATGACCAGGTTAGGGAACACCACCCCACTCTCAGCAATCACCCGCTGGAAAAGAGTCCTGTCGTTCAGTGGTGAAATCATCTGGTAGGTCACGCTCCACCCACCGGCCGACTCACCAAAGATGGTGATTTGGTCCGGATCACCACCAAAGTTTGCGATGTTGTCTTTGACCCACTGGATAGCCAGGCGTTGGTCCCAGAGTCCGTAGTTTCCGGGTGCTGAGTCGTCACCGGTGCTGAGGAAGCCGAAGAGTCCAAGACGATAGTTGATATTCACCACGACGACCTGCCCGTGTAACGCCAGGACTGTCCCGTCATACAACATACCTTGACCGGTAAAAAAACCTCCTCCGTGTATAAAAATCATGACAGGAAGAGGTCCAGAGGAGGCCACAGCATCATCAGGCACATACACGTTCAGAAGAAGACAGTCTTCGTCCATGTCTGTATTTGGGAGAAAAGCGTCCATAGATGATATGTTTAGTCCAGGTTGTGGGCAGCTGGGGCCGTACACCGTGGCGTTCAGCACGTCGTCCCAGGGAGATTTTGGCACGGGCTTGGCAAATCGCCGTTCCCCGGTCGGCGGTTCAGCGTACGGTATGGCGGTGTACCGCGTCACGAGTTGATCCGTAAGAGGCGGAAAGGATGTTTTCACTCCCACAACGGGACCAGAGGTGGTATTTGTGATAACAAATTGCCCTTCACCGCTTTGCAAACAAGCGGTGAAAATGAGCAATTTCAGCGCGAGACTTGTTATTGAAGCCATGTTGTCATGAATAGGCCTATGGATCACAGTGAGAATCTCTGATTGCAATTTAGTGAGTGTGTTGTCCAATATCATGTACTTGACACTAACATGTTTGACTGCCGAGTGACGTCAGATGAAAACGATGACGCTCACCCGAAACATATTTACTCTGACTGCAAACGCATTCCATGCCGATATGATTGTTGTATTCTTGTTTACTTCTCACTGTCAAGCATGTTTGATATATCGCCGTTGATTCTTATCGAGTGTTTTGTTTACGTGTCTAGCGTGTACTACTAACCAGGAAGCTGATACCGATCTGTCGGGTGTAACACGGCCCACGACTGTGCAAAGATACAAGCATTACAATCTTGCCAAAAATAACCAGAAAATCAGTGATCCTCCCCAACAAAGTTTAAGTGTCTTATACAATAGGACAAAGTAGGATCCATGATTGGAGAAGTTTGCAATTTTCCGGTTTTGGTTATTATTGCTGTCGTTTCTGTTATAATTGAACAGTACCGTTGTACTTTTTGTAAATACCTGCATTGTTATCATAGTGTATTTGTTTTTCTCAGGGCACTCCTTTAAATAGAGGTAAAAGTCCAGAATTTGATTATAGAGGTAAAAGTCCAGAATTTGATTACAAACAAATATAAAACTCTTTTGTCAATCATATTTTATGATTTTGAAATGTGTATGAGGCAAGGGGCGGACTGACCTCAAAAGAGACCAATTTTCACACAACACTGGCACTACTTTTTTTCCCTTCACTGGTAGGGGGCTTTTACAAATGGGCAACAACAATAATATTATGCCATCATCAACTGAACTTTCTTTACAAAACGTACCTTATAGTAATATGCTACTATACAATACTCCACCTGTATACATTCTTTATGAAATTATCACTGATAATCCAGGTTTGTAAACTACATAGAAAATAGTAATATATAACGAATTAGGTCTTATGTTAAAACATAATGACGGGGAAGATTTAGTCACTTTAATTGTATCAACCACCCTACGGTCGCAGCTCGCTGGTGACCGCTAGTCAATTTAACACAAAACCAAACTGTGAAGGAAACGCAAAGTATTGTGGGCAGCTCGCTGCCACCGAGTGTCCGATCAAACAACATTTATCCAATGGGAGCACAAGGAAATTAGTCACCCGTAAAAATTTACTAGGCCTTGATATTTTTTATCAGTTACATTATCAGTGCAGTAAAATAACAACTGGCCGAAGAATATTTATAATAGTCATCATGATTAATGACCTTAAAAAGTTTCAGTCAGAAATGTTGGCACAATGCCAAAGTGTCACAAGTTCATGTTTTGACACTGTCAAAACATAAAAACGGAGCTCATTATTGTTGAACATGTACAAGACTGTAAGCATTTTATGTTGGCTAAAATAGTAATTATTATAATCCTGTGTATGATCATTACGTAATAATAGTCCGTGATCTAAAGAAAAAAAAAGTACAATTGCCGTCATAGGTCCAATGTTACAACCTCAGTATTGCGATATGTTAATTGTTATGACTTTTCCTTGGTTTCGTGGGGTCATTAGCCGCCAGTCACGTGGTTTATTTACGAGGCTTGATGAGTGACGTCATTTTTTCAAGCGTGTCGGTCTTCAGGACTTCGTGACAGAGGGCGTAGTATTTGTACGGGAGTGCGGTGCAGACGCTGTCTGCAATGCGCTGAAGGTCAACCTGGCAGGAAAAATAATAACAAAAGAAATTGGTATGGTGGCCATAGTAAGCCTTGTAAATATTCTAAACATCTACAACATTACAAATCGTACAGTAACCTCGTTAGTTCTGCAATAACATGGCACTGATCAAAGTAAATACATGTACGTTAATCCCCCTGCACTGACAGGAACCAGAAAAAAAATATGTCCTTCGCCCTCCGACTATTATTATTAGTTGTATTTTTGTCAATTTTGGTTTTACCTCTTTTCCCCTGAGGGCGCCCAGCTTGTTCATGTTGGGTACTCCATCGCCATGCAAGACTGCGGGATTTTGCAATTCTGCAAGGAAATTATTCACAAAGAATTTAGTGGCGAAATTGCCAATGTTGGGCGGTAGAGACACGCCCACCGAAATCAGTGCCCCGCCATCCGCTGTAACAAAACTGACTAATGCTTCAAGTGGTATGAACAATGGGCACATACAATCAATCACTGTGTCATTTGCGAACACATATTTCCTTTTATTGATCCACCATCAAGACATAATCGTGTCAGGTTACAGGAAGAAGGTTCGGATTTCGGTTGAAAGATTGTATTTGTGCATGTGCATAATGATAGCATCCCCAACCCCCACATATTTACCCCCCTCCCCAATTTTATTATTAGTACGGCAGATAGGCCTAGGGGATGGCATTGTGCCTTTTGTGATACAAGCATGGGATTTGGCACACAAAATATGTCATGAGAAAGATATGTGGCTTTAGGGCCATCGCATATATTTCCTTTGAATATTGGTAGAATAACAAGCAATGGCAACCGTTTTGGAAATTTTTAAAATTGCTTGTTATTTTACCTATATTTTTTCAAAGGACAAATCTGCGATGGCCCCATAGCCAAATACCTTTCTCATGACATACTCTGACTGTGTGCCAAATTACATGCTTGTGTCATTTAAGGCACATATTCCCTCAAATATCTCCCCTATCTGCCTCACTATAATAGAGTCTGGAGCAACCACTGTCAACTCTACCCCCACCCCTTGATTCCCTCTCAAGATACCTGAGACATCGCAGACAGTCAGGAGCCTGCACACTTGGACCGGGATGAACTCCTCCAGAAGCAACTCGGTCAGCATGGGCACCAGCTGGTTGGCCAGGTCGTTGCATTCAGCCCGCACAGAGGTGGGCAGGGCATTGCAGACCTTGCCGAATAAGAAGAAAAGACCGTTCTGTTGCAAAGAAAATTAAACAATGATTATCAGGAATTTCACACCGATATATTTTGTGAACATCTTCTAAAAACCCTAGATTATTGAACAAACGTCTGTGACTTCTTTTTACTTTTCGATGCACGAATGAATCGCTTTTGTTTTTTTTCATGGTGTATGTCGGAGTCGAATTGACTTTTAGCCCGCTGCGTGAGATGGTAGGGGGAAAAATAAGAACCTGAATTAGCTCGTTAGTGCGCCCGCACTGAGGACAGCTTTTGTTATTTCAATTCAGTGAAAATGAAGGCACAAAATGTATTCTAGATTTCATGCGTATCACAGAGGAACATAATGACCTGCCCTCAGTTGTGGCGTCAGAATGCAAGAGGTGTATTGTTTGTGTGTGTTGCTCTATGCACGAAGTTTCACGTTCTAAAATGGCCATGCCCAAAGTGTGATTACGAAACTTAGGGGGCTTGTACAGACTTGCCTGTCCGCAACTGGGTCTGTTGAAACTAAATCTGAAGTCCCCAGTAAGCTCTCGGAGCTGATTGGTTGAACGTACCTCGGTTTCATTGATAATGTGGGCATCCAGCCACTCAACGAGGGCCACGCATATCGAGCACCAGTTCACGATCACTTTTTTCTCTCCGGGGGCGCCCTCCACGGCTGTTCCATCTCCCTGTGGCTCATACAACACCTATCATCAACCATAGAAACAAAAGTAATTCAGAAATCGCTTTTTATGAACCTGCTCAAAACAGCACCCTAGAAACAAACAAAAAATATCCCAAAGAGACAATAAACAAGATGACCTAATGTACAGCCAGGCGAAATAGCAAAAACCGTCAAAATCTATGAGTAATACATTGCGTAACCAGCGGGGTTGGGGGAGGGGGGTTAACGGTTTTTAATCCCCCCCCCCATATTTTATAAAGACTGCCCTTTTCCATTCAAATCCCTTTTTTACCAGCGCTTACCCCCCCCCCCCCTCAATACTTTGTAAAGAATGTTTTTTTCTGAACAAGTGCCCTTTTGAAAAAGAAGAGGTGCCCTTTTTTGTGTCATCGGCCGTTCTGTGTGCCTTTTTATTTAATTTCACGCATGTATCCCCTAATTGTCCGTTAGTGTGCATAATCGTCGGTGTTGAACAGCGCCCCCATCGACAGATGGTACCACATCGACAGATGGTACCCCGAAATAGGTGCTGGGGTATTAGGGAGCCATTGAAATGTCTCCCTAATTCTACGTCTCCCAAAGGTAAACCTCCCACGCTAAAGTGTCTCCCAATTGGTACAATTTGCAACAGTAATCATACATTTACATTGCGCAAATTTCATAAGAATATGATCAAATGATTACAATTATTATCCCTGTTCATCAGGAATGACACCCTGCAGCATCTCAAGATCCGAGCAATATGGTCTGTACTTTCACAGGTACCCATTTATACTCCTGGGTGGAGAGAGGCCGAGTAAAGTGCCTTGCCCGAGGGCACAAGCACCATGTTCCCTGTCAGGGTTCAACCCATGTGCCACAACACACGAGTCGAACACCGTAACCATTGGACCACGGCACCCCACCATACTGGAAACATGACAGGACCATATCCACAAGAAGGGGGTCTAGAAACTGGCCATTGGCATCATGAAATAAACAAATCTGTTTTGAAATAAATGCATTTTGCTTAATGAGCAAAACTTAATACGGACCTTCGTTGCTGGCTTCTCAGGGTTGTTAACAACACCGCTCTCTGCTCCTAAAAAAAAAAACCATGAGCAACACAATTTCATAAGATGAAATTTGCGTCGGGATGATGTGAATTAATCGGGTAAATTAATAGCGGCAAATTAATATTAAACATAATTTCAGTCAACACTTTCCAAAAGCAAAATTCAACCTAAAATTCTGTATTTAAATACAGGGTGGTGCAAAAAAGAAGGAAACCAACTTTTAACAGGAATTGTAACCCTACTTACTTAAATTATTTGAACTGTTTTTTTTTTTTTGTAAAGTGTAGTCAAGTATAGCTCTTCAACTAAACGTGCTGAAAACAAAAATCTTTACAAAAATTGCAAGAACAGTGTTATATTATGCTAATTTGAATACAAGATCACTGTTGTCCACGTGTAAATCTAGTGTAGTGGTTTTTTTGTCCTTAAATCAAGCTCCGGAGCTCAGTCAAGCGGATGGAATAAAGCCGTGGACAAACATGGTTTGGCACATGACATTTTTAAACTACTATATCTCAGAGGCAAAATATGCATTTGCAATCATTTTTTCGTCACTTATGTTTAAAGATCAATATTTTAATACCATTAAATTGAATATTTAAATATGCTCAACAAGTTGGTGAAATTTTTTGTCAAAGGTGGGTTTCCTTCTTTTTGCACCACTCTTTAAATCTCGGTACAACTCTTTCCACAACATGCCGTGGTTGGGCAGCTTGCATTTTTTTTTTATCTGAGAGTAATTTCAGAGCAAATACATACAATATGAGCCTAAATGCTATACTATTTCCTTGCCTACAAACAGCAGAAAAAACACCAGGCAAACCGCAGTTGCGAGTTGAAACTTCATCATTGAAGAATCTTCAAGATGCGTGATGCTCGGCAGGCTGATGAAAGGTTAATTCTAGTTCTGTGTAGACTGAGTATATCTAGCACTAGAAGTGTGTAGCCTCGCGAAAGTACGACGTTCCAGCTGAGTATCAAAAAACTGTATCACCTGATTATTCAATAGAATTTTGTATTGCCTCGCACAGGTACAGCTGCGGGGTGAATTGGGGCCATTACGTGTACATGTACATAATACCTCTACGCTACGCTGCACTCTGAAGGTTTTTCCATACAAATGAGTTGACCCCTACACCCAACACGGTAGCTATGCGATATGCCCGAATGAGTCTTTTCACAAAAGCCTATTTATGAAGCTAATTTTGAAGGCTTTAATATGGAACCGGGGGCCTCCGAAAGGTAGTCGTCTGATCTGTCCTTGATGAGGAAAATATTCATCATGCGGTTTTTCGACAACGTTAAATCGATGTCACACTCATGTTTTGTCACTTTTCTGAAATGATGGTGGTGTCTCGGGTGAAGGGGATCCGGAATTGTCCCCAGGGCCGTATCATATTAAGTCCGACGCCTCATAGGTCCAACGCCTCATGTCCGACGCCTCATAGGTCCGACGCCTCATAAGTCCGAAATTTATGAGGCGTCGGACCTATGTCGCGTCGGACTGGGCCCTTACTTGGTTGGGGGACGCGATTAGTGTCGGACCATGAGGCGTCGGACTTATGAGCGGACCCCGTTGTCCCCTTATCGTTTTGGTAATTAATTGTCGTCCTGTCAGCAAAATCACGTGTCTGCCAGCACTATATTGTGCCGCATCGAATGTCGCTTTAACGTAGTTAAATGATGTGCACTCCAGCAGAGTTTGACTTTAGAGGTAGCCTGCTAGCCCAATATGCTAGTCAAAACAGCGGCGGGCCTAGTCAAACTTCATGTACTCCTTATAAGTTGACGAGTCAAACATTATTTAAATTCAGAAAACAAACCTGTAATTTTGTATCAATTAGTATATATTTTTATGAACTGTTTGGGGTTAATATAGATCTGTTTATTAAAGACACGAAGAAGATTGCCTCAGCTCAGGATACACGTTTTACATGCATGATGTTTATGAGACAATCTATAAAAGACAAAATGAGGGCTAGTGGACACGCCCAGGGACTAGTAAAGACGGTCTACCTTTTTTAATTTGTGACCCAAGTGTCTGGGAAATTGTTAATCTGAATATTTTAAAACTTGGTGATATTTTTTTTCATTTGGCTAGCTAAATGTATGTTTACTCTCGTAATTTATTACCACAAAATAATCCAAGCCAACTTTTTACCCAGTTCTTCAGTTCACACTCACCAGACTCGGAGTTCAGCTGAAGGGAATCTTTTTGTGAAACCAAGTAGGACTGATTTTTTTTTTAAAGAGTGTCTTTCATAAAGGGGTAATTCTATGCTGGAATGATTTAAAGATATAGTCCATCATTTGTAATTTGTGCATTTTGTTGGTTTGAAGCAACAAAAGTGCTCAAAATCTAAAGAAGGGTACTGAACAACTAACCTGATGAAGTTCAGCTCAGCTTCAGCTGTATACTCCGAGAAAAACAGCATTCTAGGATCTCAATTTCAAATCAAAAGTTGCTGAATCATGTTTTGAATTGGGCCAGAATTCAGCGTCCGAGACACGTTCTCACTGAGCCGATTGCAGCTACGCGATGTCGCGCACTGAACCGACGAATTATAGCAACCGCGCGCGCGTGTGCGTCGTGTCAACGCTTGCGCGCGCTTCGCCGAATAAAAAAAAACGCACTACTAACGGAAATTTCCAACGGTGCGTCTTAAGACGCACCGTTGGAAAGGCCTTCTTTCCTTGATTACTTCAAAATGACAGCTTGCCAGAACGAATAATTTCACAGGGAGTTTAGCCCCCTTACTATCCTTCAACCAAGTATGTTTTTCAACAATAATTACGCCAGTTACATTTCGGATAGCTGCAAATGATGGACTATAGCTTTAAATACAGACCTTAAACAAATCAGCCAGTTTTGCATTTTTTGTAAAAAAACTAAAGAATATTAATAAGGGAATAAATGTGTGCTCCGGAGGTTTTTATCACTCGTTTAATACCGCTTAGAGTCTGGGTGCTGATAATTACCCGAGCCGGAGGCGAGGGTAATTATCAGCACCCAGACTCTAAGCGGTATTAAACAGAGTGATAAATACCGACGGAGCACATATTTATTCCCATTCATAAATACCTTATCCGTAAAAAAATATCAAATAATTCGTTCAAAACATCCCGATTTTGTTCAACGAATTCACTTTATGCTTTTTGAAACATCCCTCTTGCAAAATAATGGAGTGTTCAGCTGGCGAGTAAGATGTAAACAACCCTTTTATGGAGATTGACGCGCGCGTAACATGTTCTGCGCGATGTCACGCTGAACGCACCTGGGGCGTTGCGTTTTGAATTTAGAACTATAAAATTCTGACTCGCTTGTAGTGTTGCGCATGCCTACGTGAGGATTGTGAACGTTCAACCAATGAAACGGTAAGAGGCACTGGATTTTTAGGAGTCCACATTTTATTGTGACACTGGAAAAGTGTTTAAGACCAGCTGGCCATGTCTTTATCATCCGTTTAAGACCGGCCACGTGACGGGCTCTCGACCAATAGGAATAGCTAAACTGTCTGAGGTATTTATGAATGCTGATTTATACAACTCTTAATTTATTTGCATCTCTCTTCATATTTTTATTACACAAAATATTTTGATCTCTATATATCTATTGCCCGGTCTCACTCATGCATAACATGTCCTTGTCCCTATTACATTATTTGTATGTACTTTTGTCCTCTTGTGCCAGTTTATTCTTTTGTTTTTGTGTTCATAGGGACGGGGAACAAAAAGCAATTGCTTCTCCTTTTTCCTACATGTTAACATCACTTCATTATTTATTTATTATATATTGCTAATTTGCTATAGACAAAATATTTCTTTTGAACAAGTTGCAGTGTACGATGAACATTGTTATCACATTTTTTTCAATGATGTTGACATGAAATAAATGTATCTGAAATGGAATGAAATATGAAATGAAATGAATTCCTTGTATGCTGGCCGCTTTTTTTCTAGCACGTGGTCTGTCGGCAAATTTGTCGCGAGCCCCTCCCCTCCCCCTCTGAACCCCCCCCCCCCCCCCCCATTTCAAATTGGTCTGTCGCACCTTTGCGTTATATGGTGAACACTATATATAGAAGATAGAGAAAACAGCGAATGCATTTGCCCAAATAGCCTGACTCGTAATTCAGTTTCGTCGCTAGGTTTGGACAACTTTTTTTTGATGTGGCCATTTGAGGACACCGTAGCAATTGCATCAGACGAGTGGAAATAATACATTCGTGTAGTACATGCAAATCAAAATATACACACTTTAATATGGAAAGTTGTGGTACGAACTGCACGGTACTTGAAGTATAGCACTCACACGTGAAAACATGGCGGCGCCCACAGATGGTAAGTTTTGAGTGGAGAAAAGGAAGTATTTGATCCAATGACAGAGTTTATTTTGTAGTGAATGCACGATTTGAGATTATGACATACATAGCGACTATAAAGCAACGCAGTTTAGACTATGAAATGGCATGAATGGGGGCTATTTGAGAACAGAACGTGTATTCGCATGAATGTCAGACAAGTCGACCGTTGTCGTTGAGACAACTCGACTCGGGACAAGTCGACCGTTGAGACAACTCGACCGTTGAGACAAGTCGACCGTTGAGACAACTCGACTCGGGACAACTCGACCGTTGAGACAGCTCGACTTAATGGAAATGTGTACACGTGGAGCGGAAAAAGTTGCAAAAATCTGTGGCAGGACCGGTCCCGGGCGCGGCGCGGGCATACTCGATGCACAGAGGGCGATCCGATCCGGTGGCCGTCGCGTTGGGCCGGCGCGCCCTGCCCGCGAGGACCGGGCCCGGCCCGGCACGCGGGCATGTCAACCGGCGCGGCAAGTGGGCGCACAGGCCCGGCAAAAACAATCACGCTGCGCTATATCGGCTCTGTTATATATGCAACAAAAAATCCTCATGTGTCATCACTCCCAAACGGCGATCAGCCGCCGTCATAAAACCCCGGTACTATCCCCAAAACTAGGCCCAAAAACATGCGAGGCGACTTGCCTCAACGGTCGACTTGTCTTCCATTTATCGCACATACGGTCGAGTTGTCTCAACGGTCGAGTTGTCTCAACGGTCGACTTGTCCCGAGTCGAGTTGTCTCAACGGTCGACTTGTCTGACCCCCATTCGCATGATGTACGTCATGATGTACACAAAAGTCCACGAAATCCAAGTCTACGCACTGCTATGAATGACTGCGTGATTGCCAGTGCCACTGGAGTCTGGAGTCTGTGGCACTGGCAATAAGCCATTTACGAAATAAATTTGAAACCAATATTTGCTTTAACATACCAATCCTCCAAATCCATTTAGGCATATTTCTGAAACTTGCAGCAAAATTAAAAGCAAATGTTGTACATTCCCTTTAAACCGGAATTCGGGGGGGGGGGGGTAGTAGTGTTTCTGGCTTTTTATTGATATATTGGTGGCATCTCTGCAAATTAAACTTTGAATTCTCCAGACCAGATACTGTTAATTTTACATGTACCTCAAACTTGTTGAGAAATTGAGGCATCTTTTTGGATTTGATATGCACATTAAACATCCACTATCTTGGGGGGGGGGGGGGGGGGAAGGAGAGGGGAAAAAAGCGTCTCCTTCATCATTTCAAAAAGCCTGCAAATTATAAGTGAACATTGTAATGTTTCTCCTCAGCCAAGAAGAGAACGCAACCCCCCTGGGAGCCTCCCAGTGGAGCTGGCTGCCCCAAGCTACACCTGTACAACAGCCTGACAAGGCGGAAGGAACCATTTGTGCCACAGGAGGGCAAGAAGGTGACATGGTACAGCTGTGGTCCGACGGTGTACGATGCATCCCATATGGGACATGCGAGGTAGAGCCATTTCATCATTGCATTTTCTTTTTAACCCTCCTGCTGTTTAAAAGGTCACAGACGGTCAAAATTTCCATCCACTCCCCGTGGCATACTTTTAACAAACCAATGGGTCACTTGACCAATATTGATCCAAATAACAGCATGGCTCTGAATGCATGCTTCCATAGTGTGAATGACACATTTTTTTCTGGTGAAATTCAGTATGGAAAAATGTCTTATGTATTGAATCTGAATCAATATTATAAATGTCTGGTTGCCCATCTACATTATAATCCTCATCATTTAAATCCTCATTCATAAATACCTAAGACAGTTTACACATTCCTATTGGTCGAGAGCCCGTCACGTGGCCGGTCTTAAACGGATGATAAAGACATGGCTAGCTGGTCTTAAACACTTTTCCAGTGTCACAATAAAATGTGGACACCTAAAAATCCAGTGCCTCTTATCGTTTCATTGGTTGAACGTTCACAATCCTCACGTAGGCATGCGCAACACTACCAGGGAGTCAGAATTTTAAAGTTCTAAATTCAAAATGCAACGCGCCAGGTGCGTTCTGCACGACATCGCGCAGAACATGATACGCGTGCGTCAATCTCCATAAAAGGGTTGTTTACATCTTACTCGCCAGCTGAACACTCCATTATTTTGCAAGAGGGATGTTTCAAAAAGCATAAAGTGAATTTGTTGAACAAAATCGGGATGTTTTGAACGAATTATATGATTTTTTCTTACCGAAAAGGTATTTATGAATAGGAATAAATATGTGCTCCGTCGGTATTTATCACTCTGTTTAAGACCACTTAGAGTCTGGGTGCTGATAATTACCCTCGCCTCCGGCTCGGGTAATTATCAGCACCCAGACTCTAAGTGGTCTTAAACAGAGTGATAAAAACCTCCGAAGCACACATTTATTCCCTTATTCATAAATACCTGAGATAGTTTACCCATTCAGTATTGGTTGAGAGCCCGTCAAGTGGGTGGTTTTAAACATGTTAACTCTTTCGCTACTGAATTTAATTTCCCGATTTTTTCACGTTTGTACGTAATAAATCGCTGGAAATTCCGCCGTGTGTCGATGTCGACGCCGCCATCTTTAAACGTCTCTCTGTAAACAAACTGCTCACAATAACCTGCAGCAGACCCCGGCGAGACGGAGAGCCGTTGGCAGCGGCTCAAACTAGGGTCAGAGGTTATATGATATAAATTATGTGAATAAGGCACACGTCATGGGGATACCCCTGTTTATCTACAGTGCCGTCCTCGAGCCGCTGCCAGCGGCTTGCCGTATGACATGTACAGTTTTTGTGCGCTGCTGTCAGCGGCTCACCGTAGCAAAAGAGTTAAACTGCCGGTAAAACACCTATCAGTGTTAAAAACAGCAATGTTTAAAACCAGTTGCATGCACACAGTACAAAACCACAGCTTATAAGAGCCCCGATATAATCTCCTTATAAGGAAAGTTGTCCTCAGGCGCCTCACAAACCATAGAGAAGTCACAGCACTAATTGGAGGACGTTTGTCAACTTTAATAAAGACTTTTTATGGTTTTTAACAAAAAGGTATTTGTAAAAAACCATGGTGCTACTGCAAACCACTTATCTTATTACCTTTTTACCATGCAAACCTTTGAATCTGATATTAGCCTCTTAATATTAACCAATTTGACATATCCCCCTCCATGTCGTCAGAAAGTAGTCAAATCCGCCAACACCTCACACATGCATAATTTCAAATGACCTCCCTCAAACCATGCTCTATCATTGTACATCTCACATGTTCTCATCAGGTCATACATTTCGTTTGACATCCTGCGGCGTGTGCTGACTTACTACTTTGACTATGACATCCTCTATGTCATGAACATCACGGACATTGACGACAAGATCATCAAGAGGGGGCGCACTAACTATCTGATGGACCGGTACCTGCTGGAGGCATCGAGCCCGGAGCAACGCCTGAAAGACGTCCAAGAAGCAATGAAGGTGTTTATAGAGTGTAGTTGGGTTTTATGAATGTTAGGGGAAAAACTAAATGTTTGTATTACCCCTGGATGGGATGCCAGTCCATCACAGTTACTCCCTAGCTAATGCACTTACATATGCCCACTCATACTCCTGGGTGGAGAGAGGTAAGTACAAGTAGGGGTGACGTGGCTTGCCCAAGGACACAACAGATGGCAGGCAGCTGGATTCAAACCCCTGACCCTCTGATCATGAGTCAAAAACCCCAACCACTAGGCCACACTCTCTTCGCACACTCAGGACGACCGAAGCATAATGCTCAGTGGTGAAAGATTTTTTTTTTTAATTAAAAATCAAGAGTCCAAGAGGTGAAAGCTTTCAATTGCACAATAAAAAGATTTTCTGTTGGGGTAAAGTGGATTGCCCATGGACAGAACCTATGGCCAGCAGTAGGATTGGAACCCCTGACCCTGTGTTGGTAATTTTTTTCCTCTCTGTGATAGATGTTTGAGAGTAAGCTTAACAAGGAGACAAATCCGGACAAAAAGCAGATGTACATCGGCATTGCCAAAGCAACAACAGAAGCTACTGAAGGCCTGCAGAGCACCCTCAAGAGCCAGAAAGAAGGAAGTGAGATTGAAAAAAGTACCAAGGTACATCTGTAATAAATTTGTATATTTCATATCATTAAATATCAATTTCGAAAGTTTTGGTTTTATATCAATAAATATCAATTTCCAACATTTTGGTTTATGGTTTTTAATTCTCTAAAGTTTCATAAAAGTGCAAATCTTCACTTTTTTGAAATGGAAATAACTCCCTAGGGGATGTGCAAAATCGTATTGAATTTGGAGGATTCAGGACTGTTACGGCCATTGGAAACCTTCAGCACTTCTGATCTTGCCTTCTTATTAAACTCCTTGGAGAACTTTTTATTAACTCCTTGGAGAACACCTACTACGTCTCATTTCTAGTTCTCGTCCTTCCATCATAGGTGATGCTTGAGGCAGCCAGAGACCCACTCTGTGATTGGCTGGATGCGGAGCACGGCAGCGAAGTCAAAGATAAATCCATCTTCTTCAAATTAACCCAGCATTGGGAACGAGAATACCACAAGGATATGGATGCGCTCAATGTACGCTGCAGCCCATATTACAGAATCTTACACAAATAATGAATGTTTATGAGTGCAATGGTCAGAATAATTTCATCATAATGTGACAAATTGAATGTTCCAAAGCTGAGTGAAATGAAACATTCGATCTGTCACCTCATGGCAAAGCAGAGTGAAATAGAACATTCCATCTGTCACCTCATGAAATTATTCTTTCCATTGCACGAGTGTGAAACATTGACTTTTTGTTTTATACAACACCTGAATAAATCCTTGTCATCTGATTGGCCAGTGCCACCAATCGTGTGACCGTATCAATGGAACTTGTATTTACTGTGGAATAGAACTTCAGTGTTGGCGTTACGAATAATTCAGTGACGTGAAAAACGACCCACCAATCAGATAACAGGGATTTATTCAGGCGTTGTATATATACAACTATAAACTGAGGGACCCAAAGGTTGACATTTTTCCTGCACTTTGTAGAAAGAATGCATAAAGGAGTGCATCTGTAACCGTATCCAAACTTATAGAATTACCCAATGGCATAACTTCACTCTTGTGCATCACTTAAGCTGCAGCTGCACAGCAAGTTTTGACACATTTCATGAAAGTTATTGAAGGAGAATAACTCGGTGTTTTGAATTGCACATCTTGCATAATGATAATTTACATTTATTCAAATTAAAAAGTATGAACATCTCGATAAAAGCAAATTGGAATTACAAGTATTTGACTTTTGATCAGATATTTCTACAAACCACATCTTAAAATTATCACTACAGCATCCGGAAGAACCTGTTTTTTTTATATGTTTGATACATATTCTTTTTTGAAGCTACACAGTTGTATGTAAGCTGAATTTAAATCTGTTTGGTTTTGTTTTTCTCTTAGGTCCTACCTGCTGACGTTCTTACCAGAGTCAGCGAATATGTGCCGGAAGTCATCGCCTACACACAAAAGATTGTGGACAATGGCTTTGGGTGAGTTTTGAAAAGCATCTACTTTAATTTCAGGCACAAGAAATCAGCCAAAATGTCATTTAACATAGCTCTATGGTTAGTGCCCGTCTTAAAGCCGGAGTCCATCATTTGCAGCCATCCAAAAAAGTAACTGGCGTAATTATTGTTGAAAAACATACTGGTTGAAAGATAATAAGGGGACTAAACTCCCTGTGAAATTATTCTTTCTGCCAAGCTCTCATTTTGAAGAAATCAACGAAAGAAGGCATTTCCAACGGTGCGTCTTAAGAAGCACCGTAGGAAAATTTAAATTAGTAGTTCGTTTTGTTATTCGGCGCAGCGCGCGCAAGCATTGCCACGACGCACAGGCGCGCGCCGTTGCTATAATTTGTCGGATCAGTGCGCGACATTGCGTAAAGCTGCAATTCAAAACAATTCAAAACATGATTTAGCAACTTTTGATCTGAAATTGAGATCCTAGAATGCTGTTTTTCTCGGAATATACAGCTGAAGCTGAGCTGAAACTTCATCAGGTTAGTTGTTCAGTATCCTTCATTAGATATTGAACACTTTTGTTGCTTCAAACGAACAAAATGCACAATTACAAATGATGGACTATGTCTTTAAATCATATCCAGGATGAGTTCCTGACAAGTTAGGGACATTGTATTGTGTACAAGTTGCAGGATTCTGAACTTCTTCCGGACAAAGTGAATGACACCAAATATGCCTTTCGGATATTTGAAGAAAAAAATTAATGTACACACATGCGCAACGACTGTGATGTTATTTTAATCGGAAATTTGTGGTGCTTTATTGTCAGATGCCACTTTTTTGTCCACAGTACCTTTTTTTGTCAAACGACAATTCATTCTTCCCATCCTTTTAGCAGGTTAAAGCCCTCGACAAAGAAAAGTATACTTATGCCTACTTCAAAACACTACAGCATCCAAAAATATCAATGCACACAAATTTAACTTTTGAACGGCGCGGCACACTGGCAAGTGTAAAACTTGATTAGCAAGTATCGAATATTCGAATATTTGGTCAAATGCACTTTCGAATAATCAAATACTAATTTAGTCGGAAATGGACAGCCTTAATCCCACACGGTCTGGAATGTGGATGGAGTTTTCAGTCCCTATTAGTAAAACTTCACATATCTTCTTGACAGATACGAGTCCAATGGCTCGGTGTACTTCACCACTTCCAAGTTTGACACTGCTCCCGGTCACCACTATGCTAAGCTGGTACCCGAGGCCTTCGGGGACCAGGAAGCATTGAAGGAAGGCGAGGGGGACCTGTGCATCTCTCAGGACCGGCTGAGCGAGAAGCGATCGGCCAACGACTTCGCACTGTGGAAGGCTTCCAAACCCGGCGAACCGGCTTGGGACTCGCCCTGGGGGCAGGTAATGCATACTGTGAATAGACTGATCAACTTATCCGTTACCAACAATACTACATTGCATTACAATGTGTTTATTTACTGATGTATCCATAAAACTATATAATACTTTGGCAATTTTCAGGAGTAACAGGCAAGGCAGCTGGGGGGGGGGGGGGTTTGGAATACGGTAACTAATGAGTTAAAGAGCAAATATCCATTCCACCAAACTGAATAAGCCTCTGTACTGATTACGTCACACTTTGCTTTCCTATGGTGCTCAGTGGACCGTGGGCCCCCACTGGCGCCAGAGGAAAATGTACATGTAAAAAAAGTGTGACGTCCTCAGTACAGAGGCTTATTAAAATACTGAAATACCCCCTTTTGGTTTAAATTTTCTAAAACTGCATTTTTTTTCACAGAAAATGCCCCATCCTGCTCTTGACACTTGACGGCACTGTTGCATGCCGTTACTTCAGGCACACGCATATAGTTTACAAATGCAGAGTTTATTTCAGAAAAGCGATAAAGACCATTCACTTCCCATTTACAACCTTGCTCTCTCCTGACTGCCCAAAGACAGTTTCGACAGGTTTCATTTAAACACAATTTCAGAAGGCACTAGAGCTAAAATGAAGTTTAGAAACAGATATTTAAATTGTTTTTTTATTCTTTGAACTTTAGTAAACATGTGTAAACCTGTCTCTTTTTTTTTCAAGTGGATATGTCACGTCATGTGAAAAATTTTGAACCCAAAATGTGGCTCATTGACAACATTTGCGCATGAAATTTACTCAGTGACTTAATGTACGTGTAAGTGCTGTATCGACAATGAAACACCAAACAACTTCAAGATGATTGCGGTAAAACCCAAACATTGAGTCATTGCATTTCTGAGATCAGAAGGGGTGTGGGAAATCTTGGTCCCCTTTACAGTGGCCTAAACAATCTTTCAGGGTTAACTATAAGACTATTTTTGAAGTTAACAATGATTCATAATTTTCTTGATCAACAGGGTCGTCCCGGATGGCACATTGAATGCTCCGTCATGGCAAGCAGTATACTGGGAGGGTCCATGGACATACATACAGGAGGAGTCGACTTGAAGTTCCCTCACCATGACAACGAACTGGCCCAAGCTGAGGTAAGTAGTAGGACCCAGTCTATGAAGTCTGTGATAGACAAAAGGGTAGTCTATGGCCAAGTGAATTTGGATTTTGTGCCACTAATTAAGCCAGTCCCAAAAAGCCTTGACAAGTTAGAAGGTAGAATAAGGTGCCATGAACTAAATCCCTTCTTGGGAACTTTGGCACTGGGACCCAAGAAATCTTGACCCAAGGAAGAATGAGGTTCACTTAGCCCTAACCACCCCAACTCCATCAAAATCTAACCCCCCCCCCCCCCCCCCATTCGGTGGATTTTGGGGGACTTGGTCCAGAAGGCCTGGCGTGACTAAATATTGATGGAGTATGATGGACTTGGGCCTAATGGCCTGAAGCAGTGCTAGGGGTATCCGATTGATTTTGCCTAGCTTCCTGTACTGCTATTGCGATAAAAGCCATGTGTAGCACATCCATGAATGTCAACCAGGGCGTCAGTGGTGGATTCCATTATGTCATGTACAGTTTTGTATTGGACGCACAGTGATTGATGGATTTTGATGGACTGGGTCCAGTTTTTAGTAAAGACGCTAGGGAGTTAGGATTATCAACCATCCCTTCAAATTTTGGCTCTTCCTTATTGCAGTGCAAAAGTTATGGCAATTGTTTTTGCAGCTTTAGCTCATTCCATGGTGACAGGTCACATTTTTGTCCGTTCATTTTCCTTGCCAGGCCCACTACGACAATGACCACTGGGTCCACTACTTCCTCCACTCGGGCCACTTGACCATTGCCGGCTGCAAGATGTCCAAGTCCCTTAAGAACTTCGTCACCATCAAGGATGCCTTGAAGCAGTACACTTCCCGACAGATTCGATTGGTCTTCTTGCTCCATTCCTGGAAGGACACGCTGGACTACTCGGCCGACACGATGGACGTTGCGGTGCAGTACGAGAAGACAGTCAATGTGAGTCAGATCTCCTAACTGCTGTTGTAGTTAGGCCGGGTTTAAAAAAAAAAGGAGGAGGCAGTTTTTTTTTTTTTTCAAAATAGCCGACAGCAGTTGGTTTTTACACTGTTCAAAGATACAAGAAAGGAAAAGGACATTCTTGACAAGAGAATTCAACATATTTACATTGTTTTTTAATCGTTTTCTAGCACGGTGTTACAAGAATAAAAAAAACCTGCTGCATGGGCAAGAATGTCCGTGTCGTGGCTGGTATGGGGATGGCAGGGTCGACTGCATGATGTGGGAAGTGACCGTTAGAGTCTAGAATTAGAAGTTCTGACTTGCTAGTATTTAATTTTATTATGGACTAGTCACCATTTTTGCTTTTTTTTTTCAAAAATAAAAAAACAAACATTCCAAGCGGCTGCCAAAAAGGAAGCAGGGCGGGGTTGCTAAACATTTTTTTTTTTATACTTCCCCTTAAGATTAATCACAAGTCTGGTCACAAGTAACATGGGATGAAACAAAATAACACACATCACCACATTTCATTTGGATAGCTTGTACCTTCATTCGAGACTGGAAGAGTTGTGATGGACTTGTGATGCTTGTGATGGACTCGACTACAATGTACAACACTGCCCTCAATCTAATTGCAACAGATTCACAAAATACAGTTGCATAACTTTTGCCACATCTTATTGCAAAAGTTGCACAACCAAATGTGTTGAAAAAAGACTAGCGAGTGAAAACGCATTGCATTTAACTGAGTGTTTATTGTTGTGCCCAGGAGTTCTTTCTGAATGTCAAAGCCATACTGCGTGATGCTCCCTCTAGCGGCCCCGAGGCATTTGAGAAATGGAACCAGCCAGAGCTGGATCTCAACGAAAAGTAAGAATTCTCTCTGGATTCTTACACTTAGTGTATATTTGAAAGAAAAAAAACGTACAGTACTTATGTACAGTTAAACTTATATTTGTCCTCATGTTTTCCCTTCATTTTCTCAAAAAAGAAATCACTTTGACAACAAAGGAATCATTTTAAGCAATAGAGGTTTTCCATTCCAATGATGTAATTGTAGATGAAGTGACGATATAGTTTTCTGAGGGTGAAATTACGGTCAGACAACTGGGTATTTGCAACAACCATTTAAGTGTAGCAACCAATCTACTATACATGCCCCTTGTTCATTCAAAAACAGGTGGCAGCTCATAATTGATTGATTCTGCTGGTTTATTTTGTTTTTTTTTGCGAGAGCAGTTTCTGTGTCTAATTTCTCTCTTTTGAGTTTTGGAAAAGGTAAACTTTTTGTTATTGTATAGCGAAGGATCTGACAATTTTTGGAAGGAACTTGCTTCATTAAAATTGAGTTTAAATAAACCTATACAATACTATTTATTCAAGATAAATGGACAGGAAAATTTGTCCAAACTTACCACTGTCTTTTACAAGTTTTTATTTTATTTATTTTCTCAAAAGGTTTGAGACTTGCAGATCAAAGGTCAACGAGGCGCTGTGCGACTCGGTTGACACCAAGATGGCGCTGGAGAGCATGCGGGCGCTGATTGGCCAGTGCAACGTGTACATGCAGGAGAGGCGGGCTGCTAAGGCCCCGCCCAACAGGAGACTGCTGCAGAACGCTGCAGTCTATATCACCAAGATGCTCAGGGTGAGGGCAAACTACTGTCAAACATGTAAACAACATCAAAAATTAGAAAGTATAAGGCCAAGTTAACAAATAAGCCAGTTTCTCGCCCTCACCTGCTTTCTTTTTCGGCCATGTTTGCAGTTTCTATAGTTGTAGTGGTGCTCAGCACTTTGTAAAACCATGAAATTGCTATAAGATTTTAGGCTTTGCATGGTGGAATATCAGTATCGTTTCGGTTTGCGGTAACACCATGTGGCATGATAAGAACTTGTCCTGCTTATCAACTTTCGCTCAGTAGATTTTAATTCTGATAAGAGCAGTCCTGCTTTAAGTTCTAAAAGAACTTGTCTTTGGTCTCAACATTTCGACTAGCCTGTTCTAGCCATTGTCAGGAGATGACTAGAGCAAATGAAATTTTCTGGGAAGATGGTAACAAATTAGATGCTAGGAAGACAGTAACAGGATGCCTTATAAGATTTTTTTAGGGTGACATAAAGTTTAACATGAAAAAGTGGGAGGACCAAGTGTACATGTATTGTAGGGTCCTAAGATGCTGGGTAGGAATTCATCACGGAAAGCCCAATTTTTGTCCTGGAAAAGTCGTGGTATTTCATTTAAAGATATCTGTGAAAACTTTAGATTAAATGAGTCAATCTTTTGATGACTTGTACATGTAGTCACACCTAACCATTTCAATGTCAAACTTTAAAATCAAATTTAGGAATAATTTAGTTCTGGTTCACCAGATTGAAACAGGTGGAATTTTTACCATTGTTTTTCAGGTGTTCGGTGCAATAGAAGGTGACGAGCCCATAGGCTTCCCGATGAGTGGGGCTGCCCAAAATGTGAATGTAAGTATTCAGTCTTTAAATGTGTCATAGTTATTAAAGGTTTCCAGCCAAACATGCTTTGGAATTAAAAAGCAAAACTTAATACTGTACTTGAAGACTTGCAATCGTATCTGTAGATGAGAACTATTGATTTCAAATGAACCCACGAGCACCTGTACTACACTGTATAATGTATTGCATTGTATAACATTGTATTACATTGTATAACACTGTATTACATTGTATAACACTGTATTACATTGTATAACATTGTATTACATTGTATAACATTGTATTACATTGTATAACACTGTATTACATTGTATTACATAGTATATCATTGTTTTACATTGTATAACATTGTGTTACATTGTATAACACTGTATTACATTGTATATCATTGTATTACATTGTACATATTCCCTGCTGCATCCATAAAACCGTACAGTGCTGGAGCAGTTTGGGCAATACAGGGAGTAACAGAGAGAGCAGTTTTGGTGGTTCCGGGAATAATGTGGGTAGGCGTGGAACTGGGGTGCAATGGACAAGGATTGGTCATGCATGCCTCATATCATATGCAGGAAAGGGTTGATTAATCCCAGGTCTGTTCCTCAGTTTAACCCCTTACTTACCACCCCAAAGCGCCCTGTCAATTACTCCTTATATTGTCCAAACCGCTCAAGCATTCTGTGGCTCTCTGGATTAATCATAGAGTAATAGGGCCGATATCAATTCATGTCTCGGATGAGTTCCGAACATTGTGTCAGGTATAAGATGCGTGAATCTGAACAACTTCCCCGCAATCTTCCCACAATGAAGTTATCAGTATTGGTGAGTCAGGCATTCGCTAATAAAAAGGGAATAATTCTAGCCACAACTTGACCAGAACTCGTCCCGGATATGAATTGAGACGGGCCCTAAATTCAATGTAATATAATGTAATGGAAGTGTTAATGGGTGAAAACGGCTTTTGTTTTCCTATACACATTGATAACAGGTGGAAGAGACCGTCATGCCTTATCTGCAAGTCTTGTCAGAGTTCAGAGAACAAGTCAGACAAACCGCTCGACAACAAAAAGGTATGCATTTTTTTAAATACATGTACATGTAAATAAGGCCACAAAAAAAAGTCTCCGGTTTCTGGTATGGAGCTTGCCCAAAAAGTGGTGCGGCGATGCAGCTTTTTTTTTTAACCTGTTTTTTTTGCTTCAAATGTCTTCTGATGACTGCAAATGGTGCCCGACTAAACTTAGTGCAAATATATGGGAGTCCAGAGAGGCCACATCAAGCTTATTCTCGATCATAAACCCATCTAAAAACACGTTAAAATTGTGCAGCAGCAGGATTCAAGTCAAACCAGTGAGTTTGGCGGTTTTGAGACATCATCTTTTATTGAAAAAAAAAACTTTTTCATTTGCCGACGCGCATGGCTACAACGACGCGCGAGCATACCAGAAACCGGATACTTTTTTTTTTGGCCTAAAAAAAATGTACTTCTTTTGTTTAAATGGAAACACGTTCCTTTTCACACATCCATGTGGGTATCTGTCTTTTGTTCACCAGCCGTGGATATCCTGAAATTGTGTGATGCCCTGCGGGACGACATTCTGCCTGACCTAGGGGTCAGACTAGAGGACAGAGAGGAAGGGGCAGCGGTGGTCAAACTGGTGGACAAAGAGACAATACTGCGAGAGAGACAACTCGCTAAGCAGGTTTGTATATATGCCATAAGTTGGGTAGATTTGCGTTTTTGATTCTCTGTTATTTAAAAGCATGCAAATCCAACTGTGTATAGGACTTGTCTGGTATTGTTAAATACAACAATATGCAAAAGGTTTTTTGATGACTAAATATCTTCGGTGCATGATGCCGATTCGGATATCTTCGCTTGTATGATTTTTATTATTTTTTTCATGTTAAGCATTTACAATATTTAAGACAGATTTTTTTGTGGTTGTTTTGACGTCAATTTCACAAAAATCAGATGTAGCGTTCTGCAAAATGCCACATTTTGCAACCCGGTTACTGAAAAATCTTTTTGTTTCTCAATGACGGCGGGTAGGAAAATACACTTACTTATTCTCACTCATTTACAGAGGGAAGCCTGGAATGTTCATGATCAAAATTACAAAATACTTTGTTCGATTGACCTGTAACTTTGCGTAGGTAAGAAGCATGAATGTTTCATAACAATCAGCCATTGCAATTCCGAGACGAGAAGGGGGCAGAATCCCTCCCCCCCCCTTTTTCCCATGGTTTAAATTGACCTGAAAAAAAAACGGCTCTTTATAAATGCTTTTGTTTTTGTTTTTTTCTTCGGATTGATGCAGCAAGCGGAAGAGAAGCAGAGGAAGAAGGAGGAAGCCAAGAGGAAGGAGCAGGAGAAGCAAGCTGCCAAGGATGCCCAGCGACGCATCCCTCCATCACAGATGTTCCTCCAGGAAACATCCAAATACTCAGCCTTTGATGATAAGGTAAGTCATCAGGCCTGGGGGGGGGATCAACTCCCAAAGTAAAACTTTTCGTCTCAACTTGCTCAACATGCACCGTACTCTGCTTAATATGAAAGTTGCTCATGCTAACCTATGTTTTGTGAGCACAGGGTGTCTTACCTATATTTTTTTCTACATTGAGAGGCCTCGCAAATGCATGAAAGTTAGAAAAACATTTAAACCAGAAAAAAGTAATAGTGGAGTACGAGGGTTACTTCAAACCTCCCCCCCCCCCCCTTTCCCCAAGCATACTGACTTGGTAATCTTATCAGCCCAGATTAGCTGTAGTTAAGGCCTATACACAGAATTGTGGTTATAAAAAATGAAAACAAAAGGTGGCATAATTATGTGAAAGTAAACATACACATTGTACACATTGATAGAGAACTGTGGGATAAATCTATTATGTTTTGCAAGTAAAGAAAGATTAAATTATCAATCCTAACAAATCCCCAACCAGCCAAACTCCAACACCAGGGTTTGCTGGAATCTGTTAGGATGAGTGCTGCACTAGTAAACGCACTGTGCTTTACATATGATTAGGCATACCACAAAAATTAGAGTCCAATTGTTCATGTGCACAGTTTATGGTGTTAAGATTTTGCAAGCACGAGGAAGGTTCCTAGTAAATCACCCTAGGGAGTTAGGGTTAATGGGATGTACACAGGCACACAAGTCAAAATCCTTGCTGAACTTTTAAGAAGTACACTAATTATTGACATATATTTTTCTGCTATAATAGTTAGCAAGGCATCGTCGCTTACGGTAAGCACAGTTATGTAATTTGGTCTTGATCACATTTTTTATTGTGCTTATCTTCAGGGCATGCCCACCCACGATGCCGAGGGGAAGGAGCTTAGTGGGAAACAAATAAAGAAACTTGCCAAGTTGTACCAAGCGCAGGAGAAACTCTACAATGAGTACCTCAAGGTCTCTGAGGCAACACCCAGCAACGACTCAGTCTCAGCGGCAACGAATCTATCTTAACGATAAAAACCTAGTCACACTTTTTATTTAATTTCCTAATTATACTAGGAAAGGTATTTGTTGCAACCATAGAGCTATGTTAAATGACTAAGGAGCTAATGACTAAGGTGCGCATCAGCATTTTTATTCGAAAAACAATGCTTAAATTTACGATTTGAAAATTGTACGTTTACAAATTTAAACAAAAAAAATCCATATCCGTTTACAAATTTTCCAAAACATTTAAATGAAACCCGAATGATAATTCAGGGACAGGTTACAAAATGTACGTTTACACTTTCTTCCTTAGAGTTAAACTTTACATGGCACATATACTTATTGATGTTAGTTCTTGATTACATTCAGGGTATAAATATAGTTTTTACGTCTTCCATGACTGTCCGCTATTTATTTTGTCAGTCATTGTTGATTTATCATGTCAATTATGCCGGTCAATGTCTACAGACATAATGGGCAGGCGTCAGCTTCTGTGAAAATAGCTAAACGTTAAAGGTTCTTGAAATATTTACCAAATGTTTACAATATCAATGCAGTCAAGTGCAAATCTTCAGCTTAAATGGAACTAATGCGCCCAGACCAAAATACACAATCCGTAAAATGAGCAATTGATTTGTAAACAAGGCACATGTACGCGTATGGCTTTCGATGATGTGGGTTTCTTTTATACTTTAACCTCGTCTTCGTACGGTGTTTGATGTACACTCGCATTGCATTGAAAACTCATCACTGAAATTTTGTTTCATGTAAATTTCAATATGATCTATGATCACGCACATTCGCTTCAAAACGTCTGCACCTAGCAAGCGTCTAAAAGTATTCTACACGAGAAGTGAGTTTAGCACTGTAGTAATTTAATACAGCTCTACGGTAGTAACAGAGACGATCATGTTTTGTCGTCAATTTGAATCTCAGATATATTTGTGAATTTAAAGCTGCTTTGAAGCTTTTTGTTTTTGTTTGTGTTCCATTTGTTGAATTTATGCAAAGTATGTCGGGTACTTCGTATGACATTTGCTGATGCCTAGAAGCATTGTGTACCATTATAATTATGTACAACTACATGTATATGTCATTTTATTTTCTGTCTGCAAACTTTTTTTCTCTATCCATCTCTTATTTTCACTTCTAAACTGTAACCAACAAATGGACTCTTGTCTTGTTTGAAAAACCTTAAAAATCACTTGAAATGAAGCAATCTTTATTTAAATTTTATCCTGCATGTTTCAATGCACACTGAGTACGTATTTAAAACCCAAGGAGTTTCGGTTTTTACATTGGCTTAAAGCTTTGGGCGGTTTAGGCGATATTCGCGATTTGATTATTTGCGCCATTGAGCAAAAAAAAAAAATTCCATCTTATGAATAGCTTTTGAATTGATAATGATCATTCCGGTTATTTAATCATCCATGAATCTGCTTTTCATATTATTACATGGTCCCATCTTTGAGTGAAGGTCTCTATTTAATGAATTTGTTTTAAAAATATATATAAAAAAAAAATAGCCAAATAAAAACAAAAAATTCTTAATTAAGGCATGACATGTCGTGTGTTCAGTCCTCATTTCAATGGAGTCTGATGTAGCTCCGTTTATAATATCGATGCTCGAAGACCGACGACACAATACAGCGTTATTGGTTGGCGCGGATTTTTTTTTCATTGCCTTGTCTAGCTCCCAGACCTATGTTCTTAAAACTCGATGGTTCTTGAGTCTGGAGTGTTGAATGGTAACACATAGTAACCGATGAAAACTGGTGTACACATGATTAGATGTTTTCATCTGAGGACTCCACTCCGCCCCGATCTATGATCGCGCGACCGACTGTAAACCGGCCTTCAAAGATGATTGCTGAAAACCATGAGGCGTTGAATTTTGTAAACACACCTCACTTTATACCTAGGGCGCATATTACTTAGCGACTTATTTAAATTGCATTTTTTATAATCTTTTAAGGAATGGATAACTACCGGAAATGTTCAAAGCTTCATTTTTCACATGTTTTCACCTTTTTCTCTTTTGTGATGTAATTTTATGTGAACCTGCATGCCCACATTAAGCCTTCGAGTCAGAATTGGGGAATAAACGGATGATGATGGCGATAATGAAGACCAAAGCGCCGGTGTCCGCCACAGATGGGCGCCAATGGCGCTTGCAACTGCCAACCTAAACCTTATAAACAGCAATTAGGGCCTATACAGTACATTATTCAGTCAAAACTTAAATATATACAATGTAAAACAGTGTAAACAACAAATTGAAGTACCTTATACCCAAATATTCTTTAATAGCAAAACATGATTTAGAATTTGCACAGAATTCGGAATTTGGAATAGGGTTTTCTTTTATTCGGTATAGCAAAGCCTTCAAGCTCGAGTCCATCATTTGCAGCTATCCAAAAAAGTAACCGGCGTAATTATTGTTGAAAAACATACTGGTTGAAAGATAGTAAGGGGACTAAACTCCCTGTGAAATTATCCTTTCTGACAAGCTCTCATTTTGAAGAAATCAACGAAAGAAGGCATTTCCAATGGTGCTTCTTAAGAAGCGGTGCTTCTTAAGAAGCACCGTAGGAAAATTTAAATTAGTTGTTCGTTTTGTTATTCGGCGCAGCGCGCACAAGCATTGGAACGACGCACAGGCGCGCGCGGTTGCTATAATTCGTTGGATCAGAGCGCGACATCGCGTAAAGCTGCAATTCAAAACAATTCGAAACATGATTTAGCAACTTTGGATTTTAAATTGAGATCCTAGAATGCTGTTTTTTCGGAATATGAAGCTGAAGCACACCTGAAACTTCATCAAGTAAGTTGTTCAGTATCCTTCATTAGATTTTGAACACTTTTGTTGCTTCAAACTGTGACGGTTGCGATGCGAACCCCCCTCTATTTATTTTTACATTACGTAATCGTTTTCTGTTATTTAAATTGGCGAGCGCCCTCTTGGTTTTGTAAACCAGTTCGCGCGCTTTCCACATTTCGTCATTCTGTTTTCGGTCGAAGACCAAGTAACACGTTGTTTTCGTTCCTCAACAGGTAATGATCTTTTTACATTTTACCTCAATATTTCTCATAATAATAACTTATATTAATTCACAGTTAACAGGTACTATCCTTGAGTAGATTTAGATTGCTCTTAGGTCATTTTAGTTGATTTTGGAAGCATTTTCGACTATTTCAGGATATTGATTGATTTGTGATTTTTCATGTATTCAAGAATTCATTTAATTATCTTATCGTAAGAGTGATAGATATTTCGATATTGTAGAAGAAATTCAGCAGTTCATTTCTTCATTATTATATAAGATTGGATTAATTATCTTGTATTTATTGGGTTTTCACAGTAAAATTCAATATGGCGGACGCTGCCCGAATTTAGGCGCAAACCGCGGGATCTTGAGTAAATATTGATGAATCCTTTTTGGTATTAAGTATCTAGATTTTTTCATAAGTATTTTGTACAGTCATTCTTTTGTATTTTGTATATTTGATTCTGTTTTCGGTCGAAGACCAAGTAACACGTTGTCTTCGTTCCTCAACAGAAATAAACCAGCACAAACTGAGAATCAGCCGTTCAGCCCGTATTATTTAGAAGGGTCACATTTGGTGGAAGATCCGGGTACGGGCTTACCAACGGCAGGCAACGATCACCCGACAATCCTGTACCTTGTCTACGGCCAAGACATCTATCCTGTAGACGACCGGGAAGAGGATCTCGCCCCAAGGAGTGTGACGGCAGCATCAGCCGGGGTGCGGGTAGCACCGCAGACAGGGTAGCTGCAGAGCCCTGTTCCAGGCCAACCCGTCCCCGACTCAAGACGTGAAGACGAGCTCGTGTTCCTCACCGTCCGGTAACACCAACCAACACCATCATCAGTTGCAACGGACCGCTGTGTTTCCCGTATTCCAGGACGTGAAGGACCTTGCCAAGCCATCCCCATACCGTCAGCGAGCCTTGAGCGCCAGCCTACCGGAAAAGTCAGCGAGCTGACCCGTCTACCGAATACTGTCACCAAGCCTTGAGCGCCCGTCTAACGGAAAAGTTCGTCCATCCACTAGCAGAACTGTTGGATCGAACTACTGGCCGACGCTGACATTCACAAGTCAAGAACCATTTACCGCGAACTTTCTGAAATCGCTGATGATCGGAGTCCCATGTATATTTCCAAGATTCAAACATTCTAGTTTGTTTTCCCACGGACTCCCACTGTTTGAACATAGATACGATCGCAAAGACACGCACCGTGCACCACCGTTGATCCATAGTACTTCACAACGATCAAGACTACATTGGGCTGATTAACGACGCTGTGTAAGTTACCCTAGTAACCGTTGTTATAAAAGACTACGATTTAATCCAAATACTCACCTGGTTCTTAAACCCCCCGTTGTATTGTGAATTCCGATTTGATAGAAAGCCCTTTCATTAAGTAAGTCGTTGACAATCATTGATCTTGCTTTGCATTCTTGTCTAGCTAGTGTACAAATTGGATTAAGTACTTCAGTGCCAACACTTGGTAGCAGATGCTCACTGTTCTTTTGCCTTTATTGACATATAGTCCAGCGGATATGTGAAAAAATTGTGCACTTTTGCATAAAAGCGTGAAACTTGGCACAGATGTTTATATTCATGCGAGAAAACGTTTTAGATGTGGAGCCATCGCAAATTTACCCTTTTAGGGGCGTGGCATCCATTTAAAAAAAGGGGGGCGGGACTTGTCGTGCCCGCAGTAAAAATGGTTTTTCCCACTTGTTACAAAAGCAGGAAACTTCACAAAGACATAATTATATAGATTATTAGTGTTTTCCAGATTTGGAGCCACCACAAAAGTACCTTTTTAGGGGCGTGGCAGCCATTAAAAGAAAAGGGGGGGGTTAATTATTATGCCCACTTTGGAAAACATTGTGCCCATATTTCATGAACGAATAAAACGTCCCACAGACGTTTATATTCATGAAAAAAAAATTCCAGATGTGGAGCCATCTTGAACACACCCTTTTAGGGGCGTGGCAACCATATAGGAAAAAAAAAGGGGGGCGGGGTTTTCATTATGCCCACCCTGGAAATATTGTTCCCACACTCATAGAGAAATGGAACTTTCCACAAACATTGACATTCATGAGAAAACAAATTCCAGATGTGGAGCCATCTCGAACACACCCTTTTAGAGGCGTGGCAACCATATCAGAAAAAGGGGGGGCGGGGTTTTCATTATGCCCACCCTGGAAATATTGTTCCCACATTCATAGAGAAATGGAACTTTTCACAGACATTGACATTCATGATAAAAACAATTCCAGATGTAGAGCCATCGCGAACACACCCTTTTAGGGGCGTGGCAGCCATATTGAAAAAAGGGGGCGGGGTTCTCATTATGCCCAACATGGGAAAAATGTGCCCACATCTCATAAACGAATGAAGCTAATTTCCACAGACATTAAACTCACGAGATAAAAATCACACGTGGAGCCATTGTAAACATCCATTTAGGGGCGTGGCAGCCATAATAAAATGGGGGGGGGAGTAGTCATGATGCCCCTATAAAAGAGAGTTCTTATGTAGAGCCACAGCAAACTCATCCTTGTAGAGGTGTGAGGGGCCTACTCACTGTGCCCACAATTGCATTTTTATATTTTGTTGTTGATTTCTTATAATGTTCCAAACCTATATTATTTGGTAATCCAATGACTTACCCCAAAGAGCATGGGTAAGTACCGGTAGGCTAACCCGTGTTATATTGTTCAATTTGTGTACTTGCACCTATATTATCACGCACATCTAAATTCCAGAGTGATTTCATAATCTATATATATAAGAGAGAGTTTAACTCGGCCTCCGAGACGATGTTTGCTCATGAAAGGATCCGAGACCGCGGTCTCCCGCATCGCCAAAATCGCTCCACGTCCGTGGAAAAATGCGGAGGGTGTCTTCCGCCGGGTCGGACACTTCGGGTCGTCCTGATTTTCCATGGTGCGTGGCCACCAAGTGCCCCTATTCTTTCGTATGCTTCGCTTGCAACCCCTGCGCCGAGTGCAACGAATACTCGGAAGGACTACACATTAAGTATGCCTTGCGCGGTCTGACCAATCGAAAGTCTACACTGCGTAGTATTTCCGGGCTATGCAAAACTGTCGATGGCAACGCGTACTGCAGCCTGCTCCACACCCTGGAAACGAGGTTGGGTCTACGGTGCTCGCTATTTGAGGCGCAAGCATGTGACGTCGCGTGATAGAGTGCTGTTGCTTCCATAATGTGTTTACAGCTCCATGCTTCCACCACCAAGGCTGAGTGTTGTGAGTTCGCTGCCCGCCACGTATGATTCAGTGTCGTGTTATAATTTCGGGGGCCTGTTTGGGGTCAACGAAGGATCGATGCATT